GTACCTGGTAGTGGTGTGGCGTGTGTTTGGCTTGCTGTTGTGACGTGCGCGCTTCCCTGCCTGCCCGCCTTCGCTGCCCACTCGCCTGCCTCGGCGCCTGCCCCCTTGCTCGCTCGCAGATCTCCAAGTGCCGGGAGGCCATCCGGGAATGCGTGCGGTACTGCGACGAAGCGGGTGCGCTGGCACGCGCCGCCTGCGCTTGCAGGGCTGGCTGGGCTGAGCGTTCGCCTGCCCAGCTTCTCCGCTGCCGCCAAGCTTGCCGGGAGCGGGCCCACTGCCTGCGTCGCCGCACACACACCCCATCCCACCCACATGCCCCGCCCGCCTCCCATCACATCCCTCCACCACACGCCACACGCCACACCCCTCCACCGCCCGCCACTCGCCCTTGCTGCCGCCCCTCCACCCCCTGCCACCCGCCTGTGCTTGCCGGCGAGTCTGGGCCCTCCCTCCCCGCCCACACACATCCACATGCCTCGCAACCACTCCCCTGTCCCTTACACCCCTCCATCCTGCCACTTGCTGCACCCCTCCACCCCCTGCACCCCTCCACCCTGCCACCCCCCCTACCTGCAGAGGGCGACGTGCCCATCCCCTCTGAGCTGTTCGACTCTGACGGCGAGCTGGACCTGGACCACATCTTCTGCTCGAAGTGCAGGGGCAACGAGAGCGACGAGGTGAGCGGTACTGTGGGGCGTACCGCAGGTGTACCGCCTGCATGCTGGAGCGCCGCGGAACCTGATGGCTGGAGGGCGCCCGCTTCGTGCCGTGCTGCCCTCTCTGCTGCGGCGCCCAGGCAGAGCTGGGGAGCGCCACGCGTGCCATGCTGATGGTGCTGTACCTCCCCACACGGTACCGTCCCGCCCCCCAACAACGGTACCGCAGGAGAACGACATCATCCTGTGCGACGGCATGTGCAACCGCGCCTACCACGTGCGCTGCCTGGTGCCCCCCGTCAACCCCGAGGAGCTGCCGGAGGACGAGGGCTGGCTGTGCCCCGCCTGCGACCGCAAGGTGACGGGGTGGCGGCGCGGCTGCCCGCGTGTGGAAGGGGTGTGGCGGCGGGGCTGTGGCTGGGGGGCCTGCTTGCAGCGCAGGCAAGCTTGCAGTGCAGGCTTGGGGGCGGGGTGGTGCGCGTGGGCATGGCCCCGGCCCAGGCGTGCGGCTCGCCGCCAGGCCCTGCCCAGCCTCGCCT